ATTTAGCTTCAACCCATCTTTCCTTTTTGGTAAATCCTAGAACCCAACTATACAGAGTAGCAACATCAGAACTTCCATTCAACCATTCTTTACTTCAGATGGAAATGGTCCTTAATAGATTCCTTGGTATTGCATCGTATCACCTATTTATACTTGCACCATATATAGCATTCAAATCTATAAACGCACATTTGTGTAAAAACAACTTTGCAGCCAGATTTTGAAAAATGCAAGACAAGCTGAAGATCCTTCACAATAATCGGTTAACAGCTATGAAGAGACCATAGTTGCTTCAATTGATAAAAGGATGCTTCCGAAGCAGAAACATGCATCAGGCATTTGGTTGCAATTTTTCCAAATTTCATACCCATCTTGTTTCGATCTCCTTGAATACAAAAACGATTTGGAGATGTTTCAAAAAAAATATTCGGAAACAGAGTGGAAAGGGAAAAAAATATGCAAATTTGTTTGCAAAATATTCCAAAACATAGAAATTTCAATGTTCCAAAAAACCTCAAAACATAGGGTTTTAATCTTCAAACACCGATCATTTCGATTTCCATAAATTAGGAAATATTTCAGCCATTTCGACCATTTCACAATGGAATTCAGTTCCTTGCCCATCAAATCTCCTATTACTCACAACCAACTTTCAATACCAGCAATAGGCATAATGTGCTCACTCTGCAAACTTGCTGCAGGCAGAAATCACATTGCTGTTAAAGCTAACCATCTCCGATGAATCTTTACACTGTAACATTAGTTTAATTACCAAGACACACCTGAAGGAAGGGATAAGAAGCAGCAGAAAAAAATGGGGAAAAAAAAAAAGAAAAAAGAAACAGTGCCAAGTAGAAGAAAGAGCATGTCAACAGCAAACAAGCAACCATTCCTATATCATTCTAGATATATGTATAAACATCATACAAATTCACAATACCATGAATGACTTCCCATCCATGTCCTATAATTAGCTATAAACATTAGCAACGAGCCGATCTGAATTTCATCGGCACCAAATATTATCCCTACTTTCCTGTCTTCCTCTCCTTTGGGGCAGGAAGTCGGAAGGGTTAATCATAATTGCTGGATCTGCTAAACAAAGTTGAATGGCTTTAATCACCATGGAACTTCAGCAAGCTATATCACCCAAATTCCAGACACTTGGGTAATTACGAGGAGTCCAACACTCCAATCCAGCTAGATGCTGAAAGATGCCTTTGCACCCAACAACCAAACCCAGGCATGGAAGCATAATCCAAGTAACAGCATGATCAATATAACAGTAATTAGTAGTACTACACAATCTACAAACTGCAGACAAGCCCTTCCAAAAAAAAAATGACCCCCACTGAAACGTCGAGCTTTTAAATTTACCGATGCTTGTCCATACTTTAAGTCTACTATCAGTTAGAACTCACGAAGTTACTTATCTCGTCCATCACAGTATAGAAGTGATCGTTGTTTGGTAACAAGTAGAACCCAATTGTTGCCTGCTTCATATATAGAAGTTTCACTTCTTGTCCTGCTTTTTTGAGCCCTTCCACATAAGCCAACTGCCAGTCCTGAAGAAGATCCAAACCAGCTACCACCACAAGGCTCTTAGGGAACTTAATCCCTTCAAGGCTTATTCCTTTTGGACCAAATGGGTTACAAGCAGGATGGTCCCTGTCTTCCCCATCAGGGAGAAATGCTCTCCAGTACCAGTCCCGGTCTTGAATAGTGACAAAATATTTCCCATCCAATCGCTTCTCTGATTCAGTTCTCCTTTCCCCACCAAACATTGGGTTCAGTACTATGTTTCCCAACACATCAATTCCTGATTCTCCAGCCCTCAGAGCAACATTGTGGACGATATTACCACCAGAGCTATCTCCAGCCAGGTATATATGAACTTTTGAGTCCTTCTGACTCTGCAGCCACAACCTTGAGTTAACCCAATTAAGAGCAGCCCAGCCATCCTCATAGGCACAGGGGTAATGATTTTCAGGTGCTCGCCGATAATTTACTGACACCACAACACCCTTGCAAATGCCCACAAGGCGTCGACAAAGAGTATCGTAGATAGCACTATTTGCAGAGGAGTGTGCAAAGCTTCCACCATGGAAAAAGATGATGACAGGTACCACATCAGAGCTCAAGGGTTTTTCAAGTTCTGTGATACTGGGCAGCCCTTCTTCAGCATCAGTAGGACGATAGATTCGGCTAAGGAGACCAATCCCACGGTCAATAATCACATCAAAAGAGAAAACCCCATCAACCGGATTTGCATTGGCAGGGACTTTCCGTTCAAGGAACTCCGCCAAGTGGCGGTTGAAACTACCATCTGGACGCCGGAGAAGATTGTAGGCCAGCTTGAAATTAGAGATGAGGACCCATGTATTCAATGGAACCACCTTCTGTATGCAAAAACAAGGTCAAATTTTCAGAAATTGTATGATTTCAAGTAAGAAAAGAGCCACGAAAGCCGGCACTACATACACAAGTGTATTCTACAATACTTTCCAGTAATTACGTTTTAACATAGAGCAAGTGAGAGACCCAGCCGACCCACATATTCAAACAATCACCTAAGTTATACACCAAAATCAATAAAAACAAACCAATAGCAAAGAATCTCTAAATAGAGAAAAATCATGAAGTTCAAAACTAAACCGCTGTTCCAAGTCCAAACAAAAATTCAAAGAACTTCAACCCCTCAACCACAAAATCACAGACCTAAACCCAAAATACTAAAAAAAAAAAAAAAAAAATTGAAACCAGCCCATCAATCAACAAACCCTTCCTTATCCTTCCTGTTGAGTAAAAGAACCAAATAATGATGCTAGATCTACATACCCAAACAAAATCTAGAGCAAACAAAAAATCAACTCATTTAACAACAATTTAAGGGATCAGAACCCCAAAGTCCTTTTTCAGAATGTATTAGAACCCCAATTTCAACAAGCCATATATTACAACAAACCCATCAACCAGCTTATACATAATTCATCATCAAAAAAAGGAAATATATGTATGCTTATTGGGTGATACCAAAACATATCATATATAAGCGAAAAGAGATGTGATACCTTGGACTCATTGACGTTAACTTCATTACTACCAGCCATTAGACTAATCCTTGAAGATCACAAAACAGCAAAAACTCTAAAACTCAAAAAAAATCTCTATCAGAGATTCCCACTTCGCATTGCAGATCACATTTCTAAGCACCATAGAAACAAACCCAAATCTTGATTCTCTCTCCCCCTTTCACAGAGCACTCATTTTTCCAACCGATCGAAGACTGTTCAGTGTCCCTCGCCATATAAAATAGGGGACTGAGAGTGCGTGTCAGCGTGTGATGTGTGAAGACTGAAGAGAGAGGAAGAGAGGGAGGGGAGGGATAAGGGTGTATCGGCGCACGATAGCAAACCTGCACAATGAAATGCTACAGAGCGCGGGGATGAAAGAAGAGATGAGAGAGACGACAAAGTAAGAGGCCAAAAGCTTACTACATTGTCAAATAATGTACTTACTACATTTTCAAATATGCCTCAAACTTACTTATTATATCGCTTTTGCCCTCCATTAATTTTTCTCATATTTTTAAGGAAGTGAGGCCCACATTTGCGAGCGTGCGTACCGACGCTGGCCACGTGACGACAAACGGAGTCCGTTTGAGACTGCGTTTTCTACAAAATGAAATGACGGAAATACCCTTCTTCCAGTACATTCTATACACTGAAGTGCCTATGAAAGTGAAAGGTCTTGATTGAGTAATGCGTACTTGTTTGGAGTAATTTTTTGGCAGGTATTGTATGACAGCACACGTGCAAGCGTGTGCCATTTTTTGGGGTTTGATTTGTGGCATCTTTTCTAATTTTATTTTTCCATCCCTAGGTAAAATATTTTTAATTTAAAATTATATCTATCATATGATTTGATTTTTTTTTAATGAATTGGCAAGTCTTTCCATAGATCGGGTTTAAATTAAATTTAATTGATCCAAATTTGAATTTAACTTTAAAAGATTGACTCAAACCCGATTCAATTATTCGAGAAATTTTATTTTTGGTCCATAACCAAATTTGTTAAATATTTTGAATAAGATTTCATTTCAAATTCGAATTATTGATAAAAAATATTAATTTATATTTAACTAATTGAACTTAAATTCAAAATTAAAATCTAATCCATTAACGGGCCTGTCAAAAGATTAGCTGAAAATTCCTTGAAAGTCTATATTCATTACAAACTAAAATTGTGGAGAGAAAAAATATTTCAAGTTTGTAATGTCTAATGGAGGAATCTTTTAAGTTCCCCAGATCGGGTCTCTGGTCTTCTCTCCGATGTCTATAGTACGATAAGAGCCCAATTCGCCAGCTAACACTACTTTGGTAGTGTACGATCCTTCTAAATTTGGCCCAAATCTCACATTTTTATTTATTTTAAAATTTTAGTTCAACATCAAAGTTGTTTACGTCATTTTATATATATTTTGACTAATTATTTTATCGATTTAATTAAAAGAATGTCATTCATACAAAAATTAGAATATTTATGAAATATAAATGCGTCATGATCTGAATTTAAAAGATCGTCAAGAGTTAAACTCAAGGTATCTAAATATACAATTCGCTTATATTATTAAATGAACTACTCGCGACGAATTTGACATTATTGGGATCTCTAGTGTTTGAAACGGTTTTTTAAGTACTTCATTTTGGATATTGATCGTGTCATGTCGTATTATTTCTGTGTCGTGTCACTTTAGATTTTATTATTTTTTTTGTCAGGTTACTTTCGATACGTGTCAAGTTCATATCAATAAAAAAATAATTAATTTCACAACAATTCATATAATACCATTTTAAAAATTAAAACAAATTATAAATTTTTTATTTTTTGTGTATAATACTCGTTAAATACTTATTTTTTATTTACAGTACCCGTTAATCGTGTTATTGGTATCAAACCTTAATTTGATCCATTTAATATTCGTGTCAATTAATCGTATGTTTTCAAATTTTGTGTCGAATCGGGTTCGTGTTAATGGATAAACCCACTGCGAAATCTCGTGGTCAACTTTCCCATTGTATTTGCACAAAACAAATAAATTCTAGTTTTAAGAAATTAGTGATCACCTCCTTTGGTCACTAATAAATTAATGTTGTTAATTATTTATGGGATAAATATGAAAACTCCTTGATATTTATAGATTATCTTTTATCAGAATTTTGAACGAAATCATTAATTAAATAATAATTTAATTTATATCCGACCGTTGTAGAAAAACTATAAATCAATCAGTACCCAGACTAACATAGAATTAAAACTTGATTTTCATTAATATCAGCTGGAAGGTGAACTGTTGTTACAACACATGAAATAAAAGTGGCCGGCCTTAGTTTCCTTTCAAAATATAGGAATGATTTATAACTTATTCAAAACTCGAGACATCTATATAACATATAAAATAGGATAGTTTCAAATAAACTCATCTAATGATCATCATCCCTTTCAAAATCATTCACATTAAATTTTTTCCTCTCCAAACCTATCACTTTTTGCACCGTATCTTCAGACATGGGTTACCCTTAATATCAACATAATTTATCCTAATTTTTATACAAAGATATGTACGCACATGCCAATTTCTATTCTCATGACATGGAATGATTCTTCTACCAATTTGTTTGTTATGGAACCGTTAACTAATTCTATTCAACAAAGTTGGTTCTCAGTGAAAACAATACGTTATTAAGTATTTAAATCTTTTTTTTTTGGTAAGTAAACGAATTTCATTCATAGGAAGAATTAGTGTAACAAAAACAAGGGGAAAACACACACAAAAAAAACCCTTTGGAGTACAACAGCATAAGCTGAAACCTTAGCAAACTAATTTATAACAAAACACATCGACTTTACAAGCATTTTCAGACCAAACCAGTTTGGCACCTGTCTACATCTCAAACAAAAGTAGTCCAAGCTGTTTTCTCTTTCTAATGAATACCACTAAATCCCCAGTTGTAAGGTATTAGGCTCATATGTTCCATGTAGTAGCAATATGGTTGTTGATAGTAGAATCATGAACTTTAATAGGCATTAATCTGCGTCTAACAGCTTCCTTTATTGCAGTGAATACAGTGGCTGAGTCTTTAGTTCTTTCACTTGTACATGCAATATAGTGGCTGTCTCCTTTCTTGTAATCCGTCATCCTATGGCCTATCTCACCACACTTGAAACATTTCATACTGCTAGTTGTCCCTGTGGGTCGTATAGTTGGCCCACCTACCCCCGTCCGCCTACCACTAGGTACTGGTGGTTTGTCAGGGAGATTGAACGGTACCAAATTATCTCCTCCATGACTAGAAGTAGTAATTCCAATCCAACTATTGTTTCCCCCCACTCTTCAACTCAATTGTTTTTTCAATTGCAGGGCACATTGATCAGCCTCAAACACAGAATAAGGGTCGAAAAGATTTAGGGTGTTTTGAATTTGAGGTCCTAAACCTCCAATATAACATGAAACCAATTGCTCCTCCGTCTCTATCAAGTCATTACGTGCTACTAATCGATAAAACTCAATAGTGTACATAGTGTCAGATCGATTACCTTGCCATAAATTCTACAAGCTCTGGTATAATGCCCTCGTGTAATTATACAATATAAAGGCCTCTTGCATATGCTTCTTCAATTTGTCCCACGTGTCTATCTTCTTTTTCCCTCGCCTCTAGCGAGTTTTCTTAGAGTGCTACCACCACGCAACAGCTCCTTCACGAAATCTCATTGCCACCAGTGGGACTTTCTTGTTCTCAGGTACCTCCTTGAACTCCAAATTTCCTCGACGACATGGATCCAATCAAGAAATTCTTCAGGCTATAGACGGCTTTGAAAAGTCGGCAAATCAATCTTCAATCTAGACTCCCATCGCCGAGAATTGGTCTCTGGCACAGTGGCTCGCCTTTCCCATAATCTAGGTGGATGCCTAGTGAAAAGATTATCATTATCATCTACTAAATATGTCTCATCGCTGCAGTTGTGCTTGTTGTTGTTGAACAACGGCAATTAGGTCTGCCGTTTGTTGGACTAAAGCATCAAATTGTTGTTGCATCCTTGTGTCTCTCGAGTTGAACTCAACATTATAGAGTTCCTCAACATGTCATCTTCTTAATGGCATAATAACAGGAACGTAATTGGGCTCTGATAGCAACTGATGCAGGGAAGCGAGTAGAAATAATAGTTTAATGAATGAAAATAGAGAATAAAAATAAATCGTTGATTTGCGCACAAATACCAGTTTAAATTTCTACTCTAGGCTTGTTGATTCACAAAGAATATTCGTTCTAAAGATTTCAATAAATTTGTTGATTCCTAAAAATACCAGAAAGATTGGAAATATAATAGACAACTATATCAATTGTATTCAATACTCAAAAGTTATTTTGCCCTAAAACTTATAAAACTTTAAATAGTAGTACTAAAACAACTAAGAAACTACGACCCTATAAATATTAGGAAACCAAATAAAATAAAATCCTAATTAAACCAAAAAATAAAAGTAAAATATTTTTCTAATTAAATTAGGAAATACAACAAAACTTCCTTCAACTTCCTAATTTAATGGCGTTGAACACGTTCAAATACCAAAATTCTTTTCATTTATTTTGCATCATTATTTTATTTCGTATCATTAAATCAGCCCATTTGACCAATCCAAACTACCACGATATCAATTCTATCGATTCAAGTACTTTACTACTATCCTATCTGTATCACTCTCTTTATCAAATATAATTTATTTACTCACACTATCACTTCCTTGCTTAAATAACGTTTTTTTTAGAAGGAGTGGAGATTGGCAGGCATTGTATGTTTCTGTTAAACCTGTTAGCCCTTTATACAATTGAGATTGACATGCATATATAAATGGTTATTTTGGTTCCATATTCTTAATTTGAACGTGAAATTACATGCAATTGGCCACAATTGCTTTATGAATATAGTCTCTATCTTTCTGTCACTTGATTATTGCATTTGTTGTGCTCCAACCGGATTTCAGTGGTGTTGCTATACTTCTTGAATATTTTTATTTTAGTATCTTATTGATACTATTGGAAGATAATTTGTCAAATAGTTTATAAAATTTAACATTGCGAAGAATTTGTTGCGTAACCCAAATGATGATCAATAAATGTTGGAGGTTGTGTAGATATAGAGAATGATATTTTTAAGGAAGTTGATGATGAAGTTATCATGCAATGCTTCAAAAAATGAAAAAATTTTGGGGTCATTTGTAAATTGTTGTAACTAACCTCCTTTTTTGCAAAGAGTAGTAAAATTTATCATCTTTTTTCTCTATTTTTTTGAGTTTTTTGTTTATCTACATTTTTTTTTTTTTGGTTTATCTACATTGTTTTTTGTTTATCTACATCATACACATTGTTTTAGATAACATCCAAAATAAGTGAAAAGATATCTCCATCTCTCG